AGGAATAGTGATAAAAGAGAGAGGAAAGAGAGGAAGAGGGATCCAAGAGTAGGTTGCATGAAATTGAGATTACGGAGGGGTTGCAGTTATCTGTAATGACAGAGACCAAGCTAGGGCAATGGGAGCGACTGGCTGACGTGAGGAGGAAGATAAGATCGTTGGACGGAAGGAGTATAATGAACTGAGAGGCCAAGGTTTTGGACGGATACTTGAAGGCCAGAGAAGAAAGATTATTTCATGAGTAGAAAGCATTTATTAACAGGTTTAGCACAAAGTTGAGCTAACTATTAAATAGCTTAAGATGACTGCTCTCTAGAAGTTTATAAAGATTATGATGTTTAGTTATGGGACAGAGTTAAGTATTCGGTTGTATATATTTATACAATATGCTGAAACAAAACTGAATGAATTACATAAATGTCTCTATAATTTAGTAGGAGGTCATTGACATCCATCTCTATGAATAAGAACGATCATTATTTTATAAAACATCCAGACCCATTCTTCATAATTGTGGTTCCATCCCAGTTCCACTGTCAAAAAAACACTGACGTAAGATGCCCTCGGCCACTTATATGTATGTTTCAAAAAATTGCAAGACAAAAATAATCAAGAAAGCAAGTTAATGGAATAGCTATGTGACGCTTCAGTAGAAACCTTTCTAACAAACTTAAGGGATTCCCCTGACATACGTCTGTATTCCTGATACCCCAGCAAGCAAACGCCTGTCTCGTGGCTAGCAGCCAGCAATTTCGCTGAGCACTTCTGCTTTCTCCATTTGAACTGTATGCTTACCAAGCCTCACTTGTGTTTGTTCTAAAACCTGTTTAGGCCACTGTACTTTTTATCGTAATTAGGTACATTAATTAAATATTACGTATGCCTGTGAAATATGAGTGAGGGAAGAGAATTGTTTTCCTATGACCTAAGTGAAATGTTTTGGAAAGGTTCAGGAGAGACAAATTGCTTCAGTTTTTTTTTCCTGCAAATTAGGTGGGAGTAAGGCAACTGTAAAGTATTTGAGGGACAGTCATAATCTAAAAGGATTCTGTACTGATACTGCTTCATGACTTCTTGCTCTTCTTTAAAGAAAGGTAGAAGATGCACTTGGGTGTGATTTGTTTAAAGCTTTAATCAGCTCCCTTATAAAAGCCATGGTCCCGAAGTTAGTGAATAAATGTACATGTATCTGTTTTAAGTTAAAATAAAATGTTTTAAGTATATATGTTTCATTTTTAATCATTTCCTCCTTTAACCACTTTTTCCATTGACCCAGTAACTACCAACTCAGATGAGAGGGTACTTAAGTATGACATTTAATTTAGTATCCAACTTATATTTAAATTTTAAATGGTAACATTTTTAGGGTTTTTTTGTTTGTTTGTTTTTAACATTAGCCGTGTTTTATTTAGCAAATACCATCTTATTTCAAAAAGAATTTCAGATAGCAGCTGAATAACAAATTTAATAAATAATAGATTTTTAAGTAAAATTTTTATAAATCATATCTACTGTTAAAGTTATCGAATTTTTTCTCATTTCATTTTGTATTTAAAATATTTTATTCTACAAATAATGAATAATAGCATTCAATTTCAACACATTAATATCTATTTTTTCTCCTTCTTTTACCAGTTATCTAAAACAAAGCAAATATTTAAAGGAATCTTTTAAGGTACATTGTTTTTTCAGTGAGGAATACTTTCCTAATACAAACATTTAGAGCTGTGAGCTTGGGTTTTTGGTGTTTCTTAAACCAGGTCACAGCTGCCTCTTACTCTTGTTTCCTGCCTGGCTGGTCACAGCAGTGCAGCTAGGGTTTGGTGTGTGGCAGCAGGCACCCTGAGGGCAGAGACGTGCTTGTGGGCAGCCGGTCCTCAGCCTGCTGCGGTTGATACTGACGTGGACATGGCAGAAAGACCAGCAGTTTGATGCCTACGACTGCAGTTGAGGTGACAGTAAGGGAAAAAAGAGAACAAAATATACAACTTGGATACGTTTCCTCAAACAACCATCTAGGGCCTGTGTCACTCCCAGAGTCTCCTCAAAGAAGTCCATGAGTAGAGCGGTGCTCCCCTACTTTCTAACTTGTTGTAGTTAACAAGGGCCAAAGAGAAGGAAGTTAAAACTTCATATTCAAATACTTCATTTAGTAAAAAAAAAAAGAAAAATATATATATATGGCCTAGTTACTTTATTGTTCCATCTGATTTTTTAATAAAGTTCTTTTTAAGCTTCGTAGAGTATGGTGACTAAGCAGGCAGACTCTGGAGATGGGTACACCTGGATATGAATCTTGATTCTGTTCCACTTGATAGCTTTGTGACTGTATTAATCTCTCTGAGCCTAATTTTTCCTCATTTATAAAATGGGGATAATAATAGTACCCATATAAAAGGGCAGTTTGAGGATTAAATGAGACAATCTGTTTAAACGCTTAGCACAGTACCTGGCATATAAACCCGTTCCCATTGAGTCATCTGACTCATAGCAACCCTATAGTAGGTGTTAATTACATTCTAGATATTAGTATTTTATTATGTTCCATAATGTTATTGTATTATTAATAGACCTTTATGAGAGGTGCTTAGATATTTTTGATTGAGTCAAGTTGATTAAATAAGTGGTCATTTCTGCAAAATGTAGGTTATCAGGCTTCTTGTCAGAAGTGTACACTGTTACTTGCTTTCTGTTGGGAAATCAAATTTGACAGTCATCATTTTGACTTGCAACGTATTTTTCCTTAGTGAGAATTGCCTGCTGTCTTTTGATTGTCTCAGGTAGATAACACTGTTAGTGTTTGCCTTTTCTCTCAGAAATCTCCATGATATCTTCATTACTGAATTGGCTGGAAAGGGATTTACTACTTCCCTTTACTTTTAATTTAATGAATCTTTATAGTACTTCTTGTGGAAAGGGAAGGGGAAGCGGTATATGAAGGAGAAATATAAAATGGTTCCTGTCTTCAAGAACCATTAGTGAGAAAGGCTTGAAAAAAACTCTTAACTCCAGTGTCCACTTGTGTTCTTACATGTGAAATACTGAACCCATTTCTGTACCCTGTGGTTGGTCAGATGGTGCTCAGTGTAGATTTGGTTCAGTCATAGAAAAACAGGTGTGACCTTTGCTGTGTGTACCAAAGTGTAAAGGTTGTGGTAAACACTGCTGAGATCTTCATAGCCTGATTATGAACTAAACAGAAGCTTACGAGACCACATCAGAGGACGTGGGCTGTGGCCCAGCTGATGAGTGTTGGTCAATCTGAAAAAGCCCACCTCGTTCCCAGAGCTGTTTCTCGACTCATCTCAGAAGCCCACCTAGTTCCCAAAGCTATTTCTCAACTTATCTCAGAGTCATCTCTGAGTTGGGACAGGGTTTAATACACATCCAGATTTTTGTGTCCATCTTTATAAAAAAGGTGTATTTATTGTGCCAGATGGATTTTGGAGGTGGTGAATGAAGAGATTAGGGTACTGGAATGTTCCTTAAAGTAGGAAGAAAATTACCAGCTGTCTTTCAGGTAGTTGGAAAAGATTTGTTGAGATAGTAGCATTCCAAAAAAAGGAATAAGTGGCCCAGGCTGCTTAGAAGAAGAGAATTACTCCAGGCTTCAACCAGTTCCCAAGAGGCAGCAGAAGGATGACTAAATGAAGCGAGGTCGTATAGGCATGCCTGGTAAATGGTGGATGAGGGTCAGTTGAACAAACAAGTATTGAGTGCAACTGTGTACCTGGTGCTGAAGGTAGAAAAACAGACAAGACCTAGTCCAAGATCTCATTTCACTACTTCACTACCAAATAGGGAGCCAAGAATTATCAGCTAATGAGAACACACTATGGTAGGTGCTTTTCTTATGGCATGAACGGAGTACTTTGGAAGGACAGAGAATGGAAAGGTTAATTTGCACCAGTTCATAGTTAAGGCTAATTTAAATGAAGTGGGGAAAGTGAGAAGAAAGGAAGAGAAACAGGGTTGGGCATACGTGCCAGATTGCAGGATTTGGTGGTTGTATGTATGGGACACAGCAGCAAACAAGGTATGATGAAATTAAAAGATAGAGTATGGATAAAGCACTTAGCCCGTGTATTATGTTAAGAAAGATTACTCTAGGAGTTGCTCAGAATATGGTTTGGAGAGGGAAAGACTACAAATGTCAGGAGTTCCCCAGTTGAGCGGGGACTGGGAATAGAGACAAGAGGATAAACGGGAGAGGTCGAACCAAAAGGATTTGGCAGCTGTTTGGAGGGGGTCACAAGGAAGAGAAAGGAGTCAGTGATCCTGTTTTTAGCTCGAGTGCCTGGATGGATGTTGTTATCGTAAACCGATTTGGGGATTTCAGAGGGGAAACGGATGTTTAGGGCAGAGAAGGGAGAAAGGGATTGTGTTTGGTTACTGATGTTTTGAGTTTGAAGGGCCTGTGGGTCATCCAGATAGAGATATCCGGTACGTAATTCAAAATATGGGCTGGGAATTTAAGAAGATATATGTGTATGTGTATACATGTGTGTATGTGTATATATAAATGTATATTATTTCAGTTTAAGAGTTATCAGCATGTAGAGCTGATAATTAAAGCTACTGAAATAGAGTCAGCCTTCAAAGAGTATTTAGAGGAATGCCTAGAACTGCATCTTAGAGAACCACCACCATGTTCTGTGTGGGAAGAAAATGTTTTATCGGGTGTGCATATATTCTAAAGTCATATTAAATTGTCATAGTTTTATACTGTTTGTTCCACTTTTCTCTCTAATAGTGAAGATAATAGAGAGTTCACTATGTTAATGAATGATGTGTGATCTTCAAGTATACCATTTTAAACAGTGTTTTTTGCCCTTAAAAAAAAATCTGCTTTAAACTTAAGCCTCTAAATGGTATTTTGCTGAGTTTTTGGATTTCGCAGATTGAATGAACTCTGATTATTTCAAGGAATTTGGTAATTTCTTTCAAAATGATCATGTTAGTAAATTATCAGTCACTTGAATTGCTCTTTCCCTCCATAGGAGCTGATGCAGCAGAATGGGATTGGTTACGTGTTAAACGCCAGCAATACCTGTCCAAAGCCTGACTTTATCCCCGAGTCTCATTTCCTGCGAGTGCCTGTGAATGATAGCTTTTGTGAGAAAATTTTACCATGGTTGGACAAATCAGTAGATTTCATTGGTAAGTAGCTCAAGTAATATTACCAGTCCTTTGGGTTCTAGTCTCATGTCTAAGTAAGTGCCTCCTTTACTTTTTACCTTTAAAGAAAAGCAGTCTATTTCAGAGATTCCAGAGGTCTGAAGAAAAAAAAAATGCTGCTTATCTCACTTAGTGGTCAAAGGCGTGTGCCATGCCATCCCTGAGGGACTGGTCTTATAATATTCTGCCCTACTTTTTCAAATCTCATGTAAGACTTTTAGAAACTTTGGTGGTATTCCTTAGTTTTTGCCTTGCCTACCATGTTTTCTCCAGAGAAAAGTCAAATTCTATGAAAACAAATTCCATTACATTTGAAGTCTTCATATCACAAGATTTCTACACCTCAGTCTGTGTGCCAGTAATTTCAAGCAGTTTTGGAATTGGATCTAATAAAATACACATTTGCTCGTTTCCTTGGTATTGGCTATGACAGGATCTGATCTGTACCACACTTTGTCCTGCTCATTGGGCCTGTTCACTTCTGGAGCTTCCCTGACTCCAAGCTTCAGTTGCTGTTCTGACATTGGGGAGCTGTAGGATTAGGTCTGCTGGTAGTAGATTGGTGAAGTGTACTGGAATTGTGGCTTTAGTAGAGAGTGGCTGTACGGAAGAGGACTATTGCTAGATTTTGAACAACATCACAATGTGTGACTCCTTGTGTTTTCCCTGGTCACATACGTTCGCACATTCTACTCCATAATTAAATACTCTGAATTGGTTACTGTAATCTTTTAAAAATAAGAATTAGTACTTTAAAAAAAGTGAAATTATGTAAATTAGGCCCCTACAGTATTTTTCATCTGTGAGAGGAATTTTCTAGACACCAGAGTTGGAGCTTTGGTACTTCAAAAACAGTTCTCTTTTTTCTAGATTTCCAGATGCTGAGGGTTTCCAACATAAATCTAGGACTCATTTTGTGAAATATCTGAAGATGAATGACTGAGACTATTCACATTAAAATAATAATAAAAAAAGAATCTCCAAAATTAATACCCTCTACATTGCTCTTCTAGGAAATAGTCAACATTCATTCAGCTTTTGCCTCTTTAAAAGATAATAATTATGGTTAATAATTATTTGGTTAATTATAAGAAGGAAGTAATAACTAATAACTCTTGGTTATTAATTATATGGTTCCCATTGTGTGCCACACTGTTCCAGAGAACATTTGGCTTTAATTTCAGCCAAAACAACAATTTCAGAATCTTTTTAGAAGACAACAGGTTCTCTTCTAAATGACTAAACTTTAGAAGAGTTAGTAGAAAAGAAATAATATGAATAACTTTGTCCCCAGCTTGTTTTCTTTTTTCATGGGAGATATCATTCTACCACTTTTAATTCATACAAAAGGAACTTTACCATGTTCCAGGCTGGTTAAATATGTATACACACACACACGTCAGGATTTGAAGCAGCTTACAACAAGAGATTGGATTAAAAGGAAATACACATTCATGCACATACGTATACACATTAAAATGGGATAAAAGGGTAAGAACCAAGTAATGTGGGACTAGGAAGACTACAGTTAACTGCCAGAAAATCTGAATTGCAGTTACCTTTTGAAATAGAGCAATAGCCTTAGCTTTGAGCTTCCTAGCAGCCAAGGCTAAAGGGGAAACACTGAGACCAGCAGAGTCTAAACACTGTAGCGTTGAGAGAGGAAAGAGAACTCGGTAGGCACAGAAAGGCGCAGGACTTTATGTGCGCAGGTTTATATGATATTATCTAGTACAGTACTTATTTTATCTCAACGTTGCTTTATATTCTTTTTTAAATTGTTTTATTGTGTTTAGATGCCCTATCTAGAAGGAAAGCTCCTTGATTGTTCATATAGTATCCAAAACCCCTGGGGTGTTTTGTACATAATGACAATACATTAATCTTATACACTAGAAGTTTGTAATATTTACAAAATAGGTGGTGAGGTTTGAGTTGGTGTTAGCCTTGTCTTATTTAGCTGCCGGAGCAAATTCCCTGGATATCTGTTAATTAATTACAAGAATTTTAACAGAAGGTTTGGTAAATATCCCTTTTCATCATCTATAACGAGAGTGAAAAGGGAAGAATTTAGTCCGTAGCAAGAGCTTCATGGCTAAGCGCACATGTGATTGTTCCCAATTAACCTAGTCATCGAAAACCAAACCAGCTGTTGTCGATCCCATCTCACGGCAACCCTTGTGTTGCAGAGTAGAACTGTGCTCCATAGGGTTTTCAAGGCTGTGATCTTTCAGAAGCAGGTTGCCAGGCCCTTCTTCCGAGGTGCCTCTGGGTGGGTTTGAATCACCAACCTTTTGATTAGTAGTCAAGCACTTAACTGTTTGCACCACCCAGAGAACCAGAGTAATCAAAGTACTGGTTAAAACGTTAGTTGCTTCCAAGCTTTGTGGGATAACTTCACCTCTCCTACATGTCAGCTTTTTAAGCCCATCAGCAGTGAGAGATGTCAGCCCTTTTGGATAGAATTTCCTGGGCTCTTTGGTTCAAACAAAATGTCCATGAATCCTTGAACCATGTTATGGGGAGTTAAGATGACACGGTAAGACAGTAACTTCTGGGTGTCATGGAAAGGAGAAAAGTTCCCTTGCCCACTGAAGGAAACTGGTAATCCTGATTCATAGTATATACAGTTTTCTTCTTAAATTCAGCAAATATAACTGAGCCACTTTATGATGCTTTATCTCTAAAGAAAAATAGGGAAACTGATATAAATACAGGCTCTGTGACTTCCATCATTTTATAAGTAGCTCCATCGGGTGTCTTTTTGAGATATGCTGACATTGTGATTCTTTCTCTTCCCCTCCCCCCGCCCGCCTCCTTTTTAAACAGTTACGTGTGTCACCTATGTTTGAAATGAAAATAGATATTTTAAAATGTAATACTATCTTACAGAATTAGAAAAAAGTGGAAGTGTCGAACAACATGAGCAAACAAAGTATCCGTAGCTATATCTTAGGGATGGGATTTTGGATAGTTTTAATTTTTTTAATGTTTTTCCATATTTCTGAAAGCTAGACTAAGCAAGTAGTATCCTATATCCACAGTGAGGGATTTATAGCCAGGAAAAGTTTTTAGGATAATTAATAATGTAAAAAAAAAACCATGGTGTAAAGTACTGAAATGGGAGTCAAGGACAACTTGCTTGTTGACACCTTTGGGCCTCAGTTGTCCTTTATGTAAATGGAAGGGAAAGAATGTTCCCTGCCTCCTCAAAAGAATATTGAAAGAATAAATATGATGTAAATAGATGAGATTTGGGTTTTTCAGATGAAAGACACTGAGTTAAGTAAATGGAAACAAGATCTCCCTGCTGAACACAGTTGTTAAACGTGCCCCTTCTTGGTTTGACTCGCACAGAGAAAGCAAAAGCCTCCAATGGATGCGTGCTGGTGCACTGTCTGGCAGGGATCTCACGCTCAGCCACGATTGCCATCGCCTACATCATGAAGAGGATGGACATGTCCTTAGATGAAGCTTACAGGTGAGGACGGGTGCCATGTCTTAGGTGGGTTGGCTTTTTCTTTGACTTGAAGCATGAGGAGACATGAGGGTCAGTAGCCAGGTTAGAGCAGGTTGAGATTATTTGTCACACTCTTTATAGGTTACTGTGGATTTGTAAATGGTCTTTCAAAGATTAGAGAAGAATGCATTTTTATTATTTAGCATTAATTCTGCCTTAACGTCTGCCAGGTTCATCCTCAGCTACTTTTTTAAGTGTAAGGAACAAGCAAATCCAGTCAGAGATCTCTGTCCCATTATGCAAGCTTGGTCGTTTCCTTGAGGGAGTGTCATTTGCTTTAGTTTACAGATGAGAAAATGCTTATTATATAATCTCGACTTTAAGCCTTGTACCTCTTTCCCCATGAGGAAAAAATCTAATACATTCAAGTGTAAAACCAAATTGTCATACTCCAGTCATTGAGTAAAACTTCCCACATTCTAGAGTTGCCCAGATTTTGCAGTTACTGGCAGTGTGTGGAGGAGCCCGGGTGGCACAGTGGTTAAACACTTGGCTGCTAACCGAAAGGACGGTGGTTCGAACCCACCAGCCGCTCCATGGGAGAAAGATGTGGCAGTCTGCTTCTTGGAAACCCTACGGGGCAGTTCTACTCTGTCCTAT